TTCATGCAAATATTCAGCTCAATTAGTACAGAAGCTTCTTTCTATAGTCTACAAGGATTGATTTGTTACTGCAATTTGGAACAACTATCCAGGAGGATTGTGTGTTTACAGTTCGACCTTATTTTCGCAGGGTACATGTTCCCTGCAAAAGTACAAAAACAAATACTGGCCCACTAGACATGATTCTATGGTAAACATCCAGTGGAAATAGAGGGCCTAGAAATGCTGAAAGAGAACATATTTATTTGCCACATATAGGGAAAAAACTAAAGAGCATCAACCACTATGTTAAAAAATTATAGTTGACCCTCTGTGTCTATGGATTCTCCATCCATGGATTCAATGGCCCGTTGAAGGCAACCATAAGGCTTATGTGGCCCTCAATGAAAAAGAGTTTGATGCCCTATCTTATGTTAAGACTTGTATCTTTCTAAATATGAAGAAAGGTCCACCCACTTCCTATTTGAATGACAGGTTATGAGCAACAGTGGCTGCGTATGTAACTCATAACACTTATTAATATCTCTAGGTGCCATTTCTAGGTCTCAGATCTTGCCCCATAAACCTTACAGCTATGGACAGTCCTGAACAGGCACCCCTAAGAGCACAGAGAGTAAACAGATATTTCTATGTCCAGCCAATGTCACTTTCAAATATGTTATTTCCAAAACTCATGCTGACTCATTTATGTTTCAATTGGCAGTTTGTTATCATTCGTCCTTATCAAGATGGCCCACCATTTCCTCACTGTGATAGCCCCTCCATGGGTGGAGACGGCAGCTATACTACAAGATTGTTATCTCTATAGTTGCTAGTTGATTCATCATCAGATGGACAGTTTTCTCATGATAAATTTCTCTCAGCTAATCTTCGAAGGGCAAGCATACAGTCCTCTTGCTGGGATGTACTCAGAGTTTTACCAGCTTCATAGAACTTGCTAGAACTTGTACTATCCTGGCATGGCCTTCAAGACTCAGGACCATAGTTCCTCCATAATTAAATGGCAGTGAAGGATTTTGAGGAATTCTTTGCCATACCATAGAATTATAGAATTGGAAGAGACCACAAGGGCCATCCAGTCTAACCTCCTGCCATGTAGGAATCAAAGCACTCATGACAGATAGCCATACAGTGTCTGCTTAAAAATCTCCACAGAAGGAGATTCCACCACGCTCCAAGGCAGTTTGTTTTACTGTCAAACAGTTCGTACCATCAATAACTTCTTCCCAATGTTTGGGAGGATCTTCTTTTCCAATACCTTGAATCTATCATGTTATCTTTGGAGGAGTAGAAAACAAGCTTGTTCCTCCAAAATATGTCTTACCATCCTAGTAGTCTTGCCAGGAATATTTGGGGGAGAAGATGGTTGCTTTCTTAGGCTCTTAGCAGCTATCTTGGTTTAGTACAGTGCCAATTAAATTCCAAAGGAACCACTAGAGCAGTGTTTCTCAGCCTTCCAAATGCCATGACCCCTTAATACAGTTCCTCATGTTGTGCTGACCCCCAACCATAACATTATTTTCGTTGCTACTTCGTAAGTGTCATTTTGCTACTGTTATGAATCAAAATGTAAATATCTGATATGCAAGATGTATTTTCATTCACTGAACCAAATACCTGATAAGCTCTAATTTGAATACTGATGGGGTTGGAGGGACATTGATTTTGTCACTTGGGAGTGGTGGTTGCTGGGATTTATACTTCACCTACAATCAAAGAGCATTCTGAACTCCACCAATGATGTAATTGAACCAAACTTGGCACACAGAACTCCCATGACCAATAGAAAATACTGGAAGGGTTTGGTGGGTATTGACCTTGAGTTTGGGAGTTGTAGTTCACCTATATCCAGAGAGCACTGTGGACTCAAACAATGATGGATCTGGACCAAACTTGGCACGAATACTCAATATGTGAACACTGGTGGAGTTTGGGGAAAATAGACATTGACATTTGGGAGTTGTAGTTGCTGGGATTTATAGTTCACCTACAATCAAAGAGCCCCCTGAACCCCACCAACAATAGAATTGGGCAAAACTTCCCACACAGAACCCCCATGACAAACAGAAAATGCTGGAAGTGTTTGGTGGGCATTGACCTTGAGTTCTGGAGTTGTAATTCACCTACATCCAGAGAGCACTGTGGATACAGTACCCCATGACCAACAGAAAATATTGAGTTTTCTGATGGTCTTTGGCAACCCCTCTGACACCCCCTCATGACCCCCCAAGGGTCCCAACCCCCACGTGGAGAAACACTGCACTAGAGTATTCTTTTGAGGTTCATAAAAGCAAGCTTTTTAGGAAGCTACTCAGATCTTAGAAAAGTTACTCTTTGGACTATAACTTCCAGAAAGTAGTTGTGATGACTGAGGAAATTTTGAAGCTTTAGTTCAAAAACTAACTTTTCCAATCTCTGGTTTTTCATAAGAGTCTTTTTGTCCTTGTTTTTCTTGAAGAAATATGCCAGAGCATGATCCCTGAATCTTCTAGAAGCACAATAGGTACTTATCTACTGATAGAAATGAGGCAGTCTGAACACTTAAATTAATAGAAATCTTTCATTTGTTTCTACTTCATGCTAGAAAAGGACTTCAAAACCACTTCATCACTGTTTGCTTTATTTGTTGAAATGCCATTTTACAGCACTCTGCAAATAACTTCTTATAAACCAGAGGAATTTGCATGGCTGTTCAGAATGTCACATTATGGACTTAAACTTCTCTGTGGCTTGGCACTAAGTTATTGGTGACTATTCTCCATTCAGTGCTATCCTCGGTTAAATTCTCAGGCACCTAACACTGGGCTGGCAAAATAACAAGTATTTGGATTTAGCTTTGTACACCCATAAGATCTCATGGAGACACCTCTTACAAATGCACCTCTTTATCAATTAGATTAATTAAACTGGAATAAGTATGATGTTCTGCTTTTATGAGTGTGGATGAACATCTCTACTGCAGCTAAAAGGTCAACCAAATGAAGCAGGGCTGATTAACTGTGTTCTTTCATGTATTTTACACTGTAGCTCCCATAATTCTTTATCTAATCTGTGTTGGTAAAGGTGATAGGAACTGTAAGAAAAACATATCTGGAGGTCCTTTGGTGAAGGTTACGAGGATCCTAAGTATTTCTCATGGAAGGAAATTCCCAAGATATTAGTACCATCACTAGAGATGTAATTCATGATTACCTTTCTTCTCCAAAAAGCATTGAGTAGTTTTAGTAATTTCCTTCTAGTTGTGGGAAAGTTTATTCACTTGTTCTACAGAAAATAAGCACTTGGAGGTTTTGCATATGAAATAGCATCATCTGTACAGAAAAGGTTGTTTTCTGAACAAAAAAAGAGGTATTTTCAGTTCGAAACAACCACACACAAATTTGTATAGAATAAGTCCTAAATTATGAAAATTCTTGGCAGTACTGGATTTTTCTGATAGTTTTCTCAGTACAGTACTTTTTGTTCCTTGTGCAGAAAAAGCTTTGCATAGAAATATTCTCTGTTGCCCTTCTAGCCCTATCTGGCTCCTGCACTTTTTCCAACTACCTTGTCCTTGCAACTTTATTGCATAAGCCCTGCCCACCTGAGTATTTGAAAACCATATCAGTCTATTGATTGTTTGATGATGTTATTTTATGTTGTTTTATTATGCTGTTCTTATAAATTTTACTGTGCTATGTTTTAATTCTATGTTTGACTGGGCTTGGTCCCCATATAAGCCACCCCGAGTCCCTTCGGGGAGATGGTAGCAGGATAGAAAAATTAAGTGATTATTGTATTGTTGAAGGCTTTCATGGCTGGAATCACTGGGTTGTTGTAGGTTTTTCCGGGCTATATGGCCATGTTCTAGAGGCATTCTCTCCTGACGTTTTGCCTGCATCTATGGCAAGCATCCTCAGAGGTAGTGAGGTCTGTTGGAACTAGGAAAATGGGTTTATATATCTGTGGAATGACCAGGGTGAGACAAAGGACTCTTGTCTGCTGGAGCTAAGTGTGAATGTTTCAACTGCTAATCAAGGTGGTCAGTTGAAACATTCACACCTAGCTCCAGCGGACAAGAGTCCTTTGTCATTCACCTTGGTCATTCCACAGATATATAAACACTTTTTCCTAGTTCCAACAGACCTCACTACCTCTGAGGATGCTTGCCATAGATGCAGGCGAAACGTCAGGAGAGAATGCCTCTAGACCATGGCCATATAGCCCGGAAAAACTACAACAACCTAAGTTATTATTATTATCCTATGCAAAAAATACTGTTTTCTATGCAAGCAATGATGTGTAGATTATATGTAGAATATGCCCCAACTGCAAATATTCTTTTCAGAGTTTCTCAACACTTGAGGAGCATGTGTTTCACCATTTTTGAAACAATTTAATGCCAACAACAGTAATAAATAAATAATAAAACGATTCATTGATGAATTAAAATACTAAAACATTGTTTAAAATCACACAGTCCAACCCCATTCTGCCATACAGAAACAAGCAATTGAAACCCTCCCACCAGATGACCATTCAGCCTGTTTATAAACCTTCAGAGAAAGAGACTCCACCACACTCTGAGACAGCATATTCCACTATCAAACAGCTGTTGCCATTAAGACTTTTTTCCTGATGTTTATGTAGATTCTCTTTTTCTGAAATTTGAATCAATTACTCCATGTCCAAGTTTGCTCCCTCAATATGATATCCTTTCATATATTTAAATATGGCTATCATGTCTCCTCTCAAGGTAAACATGGCTTCTAGACCTTCTCTGTCTACATTCCAACTTGTCAGTAGTATCCTTCTTGAATTGTTTTGCCAAGAACCAGACACAGCATTATTYCAGGTGAGATCTGACCAAAGCAGAATAGAGTGGCACAAGTAATTCTCTTGAGCTAGCTGCYATACTGCTGTTGATTCTCTGTGATTGGTTTCAAAATGTTTTCATCTCATATGTATTTTTTTCTTTCCATTCCMCCCCCCCCCCCATCTCATCACTTGTCTATCTTCAGGAAAATATAAATATTGAYGAAGCTTCCAGATGTTTAGTGAAGCACATCATGGCCACTGAGAGTGACCCTGTGGARCAACCTGTTGAACCTGATGTTGTCAAGCCACACTTGAATTCCTCCAAGTTTGCCAGCTGTTCAGCTTGCTTCCGGTCCTAAGCAACCTCCAAGCTGTTTTGGACATTGSGACTGAGCAAMACATAACTCAGGAAAGAAAAGTGCCTCCAGAGCATGTTGCCTGGCTTTTGCTGTGCCTGGGCATAAAAATAAAATCTGCATTCTTGCCAAACACTTGGCTGTAAAAGAAAATCCAAAGTTTCAAGAACTTTTCTGATTATTATTTTTATTGTGGTTTTATGACTAAGTTGTGGATGCTTCTACAAATTTTGATACTGATTTTCTAACCTGTTTCAGTTAATTGTAGTTGCTCCAGCCAAAGTGCTCTTTTTAGGAAGGCAGAAGCATCTAAACACGGCATTTTGGGGGACGGTTTCATATGTATGTGTGAATTGGGAGTCTACCTTAGGAACTACATCACCCTCCATTTTTTGCTGAACTTTACTCCCAGCAGTCCTAATAAGTATAGTTAATGGTGAGAAATACTGGAAGTTGCAGGTAAAATTACTATGTGCAGCACAGGGAAAATACTATTTACAGCACAGGGATGGCATTTACCTTTGTCATTGTTTGCCACCACAGTGGAAGCCATGGAGCTCCAGAGAGCTACTGTGTTTGCCAATGTCAGGTGTGTTTGCCAATGTCAGCAAAGTCATGACTTGTAGAAAAGAGGGGGCTTTCCACCCACCTTTCTTCCCTCTCCAAGTTTCATGAACACCTTGGCAGATACCAACAAAGGCTCCTGGTGATGGTCAAGAGCTCTCCGGAGTTCTGTTACCATGACTGCAGTGACAAAAGTAATACAGGTAAGGGTGATCTTTCAGCAGAGCTGAATCAGATTTAGTCCAGCTAGGTGGTCAGGACTCCACTCCCACTTCTGCAGCAGTTTGAGAGCAGAGAAATGAAAATATTTTGGCACAATCGGGCTGGTCCAAAGCAGCAATGAACCCTAAAGGTATTAATCAACAAAACAAATAAAGTCAGTCATGCACTAAATATGTAATATGCTTTGTCATTTGAAGTTTGTTTTTCAGAGGAAAACGTCAACTCCGCAACCAAAAACTATACATTTGCAGCCAACATTAATTCCAACTTATTTTTCATAGGTTAGAACAATTGCCCTCTTGTAAACCAGGCTTGAAACTATTTCCAATTTGTATCTAATGTACAAATGTCTTGTCTGATATCCCCATATCAACAACGGAAATGTTATTTGATGATTAAAACTCTGGAACGTCTTTTCATAAATTGTTTTAAGTTGCTTTCCATGCTGATTTTGTATTTTGATGCAAGAGACCTGATTTAATTGTGTGTCAACACAATGAGTGTATAAGACACCAAACCATAGATTGATGTTACATGAGCATAGACCCCTTCTCCCCAAAGCCTTACATTTACAACTTATAGCTTATGTAGTCCAGACACATTTCAACAGAATTTATTTTCTTTCTATCAACTTTCCTCACAGTCCAGCTCTCACAACCATACATAGAAATGGGAAATGTGATAGCATGGACAATCCTAACTTTGTGATACAAACATACACACATATTATTTTCATGGCTTGGTGGATCTGGATCACACTTGGTACAATTACCCTTCATTACCCAACTTAAAATATGGATGAGGTTTAAACTAATACATCCATCCATTGCGTTGTACACACACACACACACACACACACACACACCAGTTCCCAGTCTTTTTTTTGACAAGGGACCACTTGACCAGGGACCACTCTCCAACATTAGTACCAAAAGGGCTACGGATCGGTTTTTGGTCAATATTAAATTTGGTTTGGTTATTTGGAGTGCTGATTCAGAAAATTGCATTAGATAGACCATATCAGCTCTAGTTTCTGTTACAGAACATATCCCATGCAGTAGTCGCCATCTGCTTGCCCACAGAAAACCATATTTAATAATCTAGAGCTGATGTGTACTCTTTCGTGGGTAGTCAGCCTCTCCCCTCCTGAAATCCCTGTTGCCTTGGCACTGTAAGAGAGTTTTGTGACACCAGTCGCTCTCGTTGCTGCATGGTTTTGAGACAATGGTGTAGTAACAGTGAGGCTACAGACCATATTTTCATTCTTGCGGACCACTGGTAGTCCACAAACCATAGGTTGGGAACCACTGATATGGATTAATTGCCCTTTACAGCCAACATTTCCACACAAAATAATTTCTGTGCGGCATTTCAGGAGTTTGAATACTGAGAGAAAGCTACACAAAATCCTTGCTTATCTTACTATTCTTCCCAATGGATCCCTCAACTGTTCAGAAATCAATTTTTCCTCCCAGGAATAAATAATTATGAATATTCTTTCCATCTGTAGGAACGAGGAGATTCCCACGAGATCTTGTGGTAATCCCTCGGCATGCTCAGCTACTCTCAAAAGGGAAAGATTTTCTCCCCTGGTTTTGAGTGTTGTGTTTTTGTGTTCGCATCCCTCATTAATTTTAACCGGGAAAGGAGGGGGATGAGGTTTGGGGAAGAAAAAATAATAATTTCAGTTCTAGAAGAAAACATGTAGAAGTTGGAGCAATGATCCCTCTGCTGTGCTAGTTTTGTACTTGCAAAACTATTTATACGCAGGGAATCAGCCAAAAATATGACTACTACTTGCAGCTTGAAGATATATTGTGCAAACCACCACTTCATCACTTCCAACTCTTTCTGCTGCAAGTGCAAACCAAACCTGTATATCTAACACAACTCGGAAAATGTGTTCTTTGTGTTTCTGTGCTTTCAGATCACCTGCTGAGTTAGGGCAATCCTGTAAATTTCATAGTTTTTTCTTGGGCAAAGAATACTCAGAGGTGGTTATCATCCTCAGAAATATAACCTACAGCATCTGGTATTTCCTGGCAGTCTCATCTTTCATATTTGGCAGGAAAGAATGGTGCCCTAACCTCCCTACCGCTGCTCCTGGAGAAGTTAGAGGGTGGGGCCAGTAGGGGAGATAATGTTTTTAAGGAGACCCTATTTTTAGAAAGAAAAAAATTCCTAAAAATCAGGGGATGATCAAAACTTTATAAAACTTAGTGGGCTAACAGTGGTAGATGTGCCCTCCAAGTGTGGTGATTTTCATCCCTCTATCCCTAAAAGTGAGTGGAAGGGCAGCCTGGGAAGCATGCCCATTGCTGCCGAAAAGATCTGGTTCTTCATATGCAGACCAAAAACACCGTTTCAGGAGTACAACCATTTTCGGGACGTGCACGAAAATGGATATGGGGTTTTCCAGTATCTGGGAAGCAGAAACAGATAATGATTCTCTCAAAATGCACAAGCCTACCAATCATTAACCAGACAAGACTAAAAATCCCCATTTTCATAGTTGCTGGCTCCCATGTTACTGTGTGATGGTTTAATGTCTCTTTTATTTCTCTCCACTCATTTTGTTTTGTTCACTTTTTTGTCAGATTTGGAAAACACAATTAAACTTACTCTATTAAAACAAATTAAAATGGTATTCAAGAAACATTACTTCCTGAACTTGTCTGAAATTTTCCAGCATACACACCTCCTAAGGCACCGGGATTGTGGTGCAGCTGGCTGAGTGTCAGCTGCATTAAGATCACTCTGACCAAAAGGTCATGAGTTCGAAGCCAGCCTGGGTTGGAGTGAGTTTCCAACCAATTATGTGTAGCCTGTTGTCAACCTTTGCAACCCCAAAGACAGTTGCATCTGTCAAGTAGGAAAATTATGTACTACCTTAGTGGGGAGGCTAAATTAACTAATTTATGAGGTCATAAAGAAGACTCCAGCAAAGCATTCCAGCGGGGAAGCATGTGGGGAATGCGGAAGCACTTCATCAGCGTTGCAGATGGATGATGAAAGCGACAGGTCCCCTGGCGGACAGAAAAAGTTAGCCTCTGTGTATGTCTGTATATGTTTGTATGTCAAAATTGGCATTGAATGTTTGCCATATATGTGTACACTGTAATCCGCCCTGAGTCCCCTGCGGGGTGAGAAGGGCAGAATATAAAAGCTGTAAATAAATAATAAATAAATAAATACCCAGACACTTCATTCAATTGTCAGAAGCAAAAAGGAGTTCTAGAGTATATCTTCATCACAGTATTAATGCAGTTTGACACCACTTTAACTGACATGGCTCAATGCTATGGAATAATGTCAGTTGTAGTTTTACAACATTTTTAGCCTTCTCTACTAAATAACACTGGAGTCTCCCCAGACTATAAATCTCATAATTCAGTAGCATTAAATCATGGTGGTTAAAGTGGTGTCAAACTGGATTATTTCTACAGTGTGGATGCACCCCTGGTTGTTGATTTCCAACAGTATTCATTGGAAGCAAAGGATATAGGCATTTCTGGCCCGAGATGCAGATACAGAACTAAGCCGAATCATGCAGGCTTCATATCAATCCAAACTCAAGTGGCTTGTATGCTGAATCAATAAATAAAGACCGGAAATAAATCTTAGAGTTCATATTGCCTCCTACTTGCTAGTCTTCAGAAACCAATTTTAGCACTGTATTAAAAAGTATTTCTAAAGGCGTTGTGTTAAATATTTATACGAATATAAGAAAAGCAGGGATGAAGGGGATAATCCTGAAGAACTGAAGTCTATCGTTAAGGACTTTATTGACAGCGTTCCCTTCACAACTCTTTTGTATCAGAGATCTTCTGTCTCTTACAGTTTTGTGGGATGTATTGATTTGTGTGCCACTGCTAAATGGATTTTTCTCTTCAAATACTCTGTGGAATACACAGGTTTGGGTTTAAAACAGCATCATCTGCTAGATATTTGACATGAGCTATTTGAAACTTGATACGTTGATTGCTGGTGGTATGTTGCTTTGAATTCCACAATGGCAAATGGGAGGTATATAAATTATCTCAATAAATAATATTGAAATAGCAATCTGTGGAACAATCAAGTTTAAAAAGCAACACTGGAAGACACAGTGTAAGAGCCATGTGTACAATTTTTTTTTTTTAAAAAAACAAGAATGAGGACACTGTAGCTTGTGAACCACATGCTGTTTCTAGACCACATTTTGATGGTCCTGAAGCCTCACAACCTCCCCAACCACACCAAAAACTATATTAAAATACCATTATTAGGAAATACTTTTCCCCAAATGTGTGAAAACATGCATTGCCACAAGTATCCTAAAACATATACTACTTTCCCTTTTCTGTATAGTGTCTCTCAAAGTGATGAGACATCACTTCCAGTTGCCATTTGGAGAAGGACCTAAGAGGAAAATGGAAGTATTTGGACTTGCCTTGAGGGGGGGTGACGTGGCCATGTGCAGCTGTGAGAGTAGCTATAGCCTCACTTGTCTTAAACCATGGATCATAGACAGACTTTAAGAACCTTCCTTGTAGCCTATAGCCATACCCAATTTTGGCTTTTCACCTATGTAACCATTTATTATTATTATTATTATTATTATTATTATTATTATTATTATTTCAGACATTTTTATCCCGCCCTTCTCAACCCCTGGGGAGACTCAGGGTGGCTTACAATTGGCAATAATTCAATGACGCATCATAAAATACAGAACAACAAATATAACAATTAAACATGAACATTAATAAATAAAGATTAAAACCGTATACTTACACTCTGATTAGCTATTGCTCGTATGGTGGCTGTTTAGCTAGCCATCTACTAATGATTACTCCGCTTAACTTATCCAAATCCTCTTCCATGCCATAGTCAAACATTATCAATTGTCCTTTAACCTGATTGCCTGAAGGCCTGGTCCCACAGCCACGTTTTAACCTTCTTTCTAAAGGTGAGGAGGGATGACAATGACCTAATTTCCCTGGGGAGAAAATTCCACAGGCGGGGGGCCACCACCGAGAAGGCCCTGTCCCTCGTCCCCACCAAGCATGTTTGAGATAAAGGCAGGGCCAAGAGCAGGGCCTCCCCAGAAGATCTTAAGCTCTGAGGTGGGACGTAGAAGGAGATACGTTCGGACAGGTACGCTGGACCAGAGCCGTATAGGGTTTTATAGGTCAAGACCAGCACTTGAAGGCAACACTATACCAATCCTAAATATCTAAATATCTAAATATCTAAATATCTCGTTGTCACCTTAGATCAAACACTAACATTTAGGAAACACTGTATGAATACCAAGCACAAAGTAGCCGCATGCAATAACATCTTGAGGAAACTTACTGGTAGCGCATGGGGTGCAGACCCAAAATTAATAAGAACATCAGCCCTGGCCTTGTCTTGTTCAACTGCTGAGTATGCCTGCCTAGTTCGGCACAAGTCCATTAATGCGAAGCAGGTGAACATAGCACTGAATAAAACATGTATAATAATCACAGAATGTCTCAAACCTACACCTGTTGATAGACTTGATGTGTGATAGGAAGTTTGTTTGTTTATTTATTTATTTATTTATTTGAAGCATTGATATTCCGCCCTTCTCACCCTGAAGGGACTCAGGGTGGAGCACAACGTATAAACGGCAAACATTCAGTGCCGAAACATATTAGACCATACACATACAAAAGCATTAAAATCACTTATCTTGACATTAAAATCCACTAGTTAAAACTGTCTCAACAACCATATCAAATTTGGTTGACATACTAAGGGTTACTATTGCTGCCTCATTGCACAGTCTCAAAGGCTCGTTCCCACAGCCACGTTTTTATCATCCTTCTAAAGGACAAGAGGGAGGGGGCTGACCTGATCTCATTAGGAAGGAAGTTCCATAGGCGAGGAGCAATTACTGAGAAGGCCCTGTCTCTCGTCCCCACCAAAGTTGCTGCCAACTGTGAGAGAAATAAGGTTGAACATTGTGAAAGCTATCCACTGCATGGCTATCAATCTTTTCCCAGTAGACTCAAATTAAGGAAAGGTTTTATGACAACCACCACTCCTCTTAATGTTTCCTGAGCAACAGCAAGAATATCCCACTGGGCAGCTAAACCAGGAAATCCCAAATGGATGCCTCCCCACAAAGGTCTGCCTCCATGGGCAAACCAAGAAAGAGCAACTTGGAAGTCCCTGAATAGACTCAGAAGTCAAGTGGGCAGATCAAAAGACAACCTGTCTAAATGGCCCTACCTAGAAGAATCCTTCACCTTGTGCAACTGTGGAGCAGAACATACAACTCAGCATTGGTATGCCTGCCCACAATGCCCTGCTTCATGCACAGAGGAAGAACTGTTTAAAGCTACATGCGGTCACTGTTGCCCATTTTGGATCTAATATTATTTAGCCGCTTGTACTCCCTCTATTTTATCAGTTTTATTCTAATTTATTTATGCAATGCTTTTGACACAAAATAAATAATCCCAATTTTGGCTACTTCCCCTTCAACATCATGTTGCTGCCAGATCATCAAACAGGTATTTAGTGAACTGCATGAGCCGTGGTTTTCACTGGATCAGGGTTGTTGGTTCTACCTTCATTGCAGGGATGAGCATTCGAGTGGGTTCCAAAGAACAAACAAAGCTTCTCCATCAACATA